TATTTGCAATTTACATTGAGAAAAAACAGCAGTTTATAAATTAATTTAAAAGAATGTTACACTTTAATTTCCAATGTTTTTTTTTAAGCTCAAGGCATCTTAAACTCGGTGGATTTAACATCAAATCTCTAAAGAGTTAAAAAAAAATTTTAATTAAGAAGAGCAAATATAGAAGTACAAATACTTAATATACATAGTACTTATCCAAATATAATATAATGTATTATATCGTTGTATAATTTAGTATTAACTATTAGTAACAGTATAATTACAATGAACTATACGTAGGGTACATTCTGTAAGACATACTAATCACTACTAAGACTTACCTAAATAATAACCATAAACTCAGCGCCTTTGAATTTTATTTAAATAACTAAAATGATACAAAATATTTTTATCGTAATCATTAAAAGAAAAAAACGGAGAAATCGCTCTGCTGTACATTATAGTGCCTATTGTCATTAGGTAGATCACTCTACGGGATTTAATATGGGTTGTATTAAATTTAAATTAAACGATAATCTTATATAATATCTTTGTACATTCAAAAATGATTCTGAGCGAAGACAGTCGTCAGCCTTATAGCTAAGTATATATTTTGTTATATGCATATAGTATATTTATATTGAGTTGGTTGTAATAATTTTTCCAGAAAACAAATCTCATACCTAACATTATGTAATAGGTACCTTATAATTATAATATTATTTTGAAAAAAACACACTAATTTTTTAAACCAACACATTTGCTCTACTCAGAATCTAAAAATAATCAAGAAAAATAATATTATTGAATTAAATCAAACGCAATATGGTTAGATTTACAATTCAAATATATTTTTCTTTTAAAATTAAACCATTTATTAATCAATATTTTTTTTCTTTTGAAATGTAAACCCCATAAAAGTGGCACTCGATTATTTTACGACCCTTTTGATTATAAGTTATAACGCACACACTTAATAATATTTGTTCATAAATCGTCCACTCACGGATGACAATAACGAATGATTAATGAAATTGCTAAAAAAAAAGTATATGGTCTTCAATAAAATAAAATGTTTATATTTAATGGCCAACATCCAAGAATTAAATTAAACTATAACAATATCCATACACAATATTATTGAGTAGTATTGTTCATAATAATAAATGATACATGTTACAATTTATTGTAAAAGAACAACTGCAATTAATACAATTAGTACAAAATTGTTATTATTCACAAAAAATGTTACTATACCAACAATGTTTTAAAAACTAAGACTTTAAAAAAGTTGTCGGAATTGTCTGGCTCTAAAGCTCACTTAATCTAGCCAAAAAAAACGTCTTACTAGATATTATTGTCCAATGTGTATTTAAATGTCCTAATTTTTTTCATTTTCTGTAAGCAAAATCAAAGACTTGTGGTGAAGTTCTTCGTAAAAATTCTACTGTTATTTCTAATTTTTTTAAAAATATAAATGAGCAACTAAAACTTATTTGTTTTGACTTTTATCATTTATAGGTACATAATTATAATACATATATTAATATAGTAATTCATTTTAAAAATATTTTTTCTGTTAATATAAAGTATACATTATAACTGTGACGAAGTGTATGTTTTCATCGCATTGTAAGTTAATTCAGTATTTAATATTATCATATTAATAAAAAAACAAAACTTAGTATTTTAATATAATATTTGTTTAAAAATGTGTAAAATTTGAAACTTACTACAGTACAACAAATGGGTCATTTAAAATAAAACGATTGTTTAATATTTAAAAAAATAAAAATAATAATATTTTCATAGGCAAATTGTGACCAAATTACTATATTTACTATATCAAACTTATTATATAACTTACCGATGTTCAATATTTCAGACCAATATAGTTTTACGTAAAAGTGCACAATAGTACAAATAGGTAATAAAATACCTATTACCGGAAGTTTTAAAGTTATATAAAGTACACCGTACAATAGTTGCATAAAGCTGCAAGTAATTATAGTGGTCTCCAATATTCAAATGTATTGCATAAAATATATTATACATATAGTGCCTGTTTATTTTTATCTATAATAATAATAAGGTTAAGTCAATTTGCATATGACATTTATAATTTACAATGAGGGCAGATGGTCAAATGTTTCGGGCTTATAGTATAATTGCACATAACTCTGACTTAAATCTAACGTTTAGGAAAATACTTGCTAAAAAATATGTAAAAACACATTTCAAAAAATATTTACGAAACCAATTAATATATTATCCGTTCATTGTCAAAAACAATCACTCTATTGGATTATTTGATAACCATAATAATTCATACAAACCTTTTTAATTACAACTTGCCGTAATCAACAATATGTTAATTAATTTAGGACGATCGTTAATGCATTTATGATAAACTTTTTTTATCGTTTCAGTATAATTTAAAATATTATATATGTGTTAAATATTTAAATCGATGTTGCTAAATAAATAAAAAATATAAATGTATTACATACGTACGATTTTTCTAATATAGTTATAAATACATACATGACCGGGTTGTTGGTTCAATATTTTTAGAACTATCAAATAAAAAATAAATATTTATGTATTTCATATTATATTATCAGTATAGTAAAGTAAACATTAGTAATGAAATTGTAACTATTAATTAGTTAACAACATATAAAACTAAACAGAAAATATTACTATATAATGTATCCATATAAATAATTTATGTAAGTTACGTACAAATATTAATCACAAACAGTGTTTATTCCGCGTAAATTATTATGTAGGTAAAATGTGAACATTCGCTGTCAAAAAAAAATAAAAATGAAAAAAAGAGTGTTAAAATATTGAATATTAAAATTCGTTTCTCGTTTTAATAATAAAACACATTTACAAAACCAATTTCGAACGTATATAATATAATATAGTATTATTACGAAACACATTTTACATCAAAATATAATCATATTGTACATTCAATTATTACTCGTATTGGGCCGTAATAAAGACAAAAAATGGACTTTATGGACTTTTTAAGTTAGGTAAGTTATTGTTTTTTTACCACGCATCAAACATTTTTCAAAGATTGCCCAAGGGTTGTAAAATATACAAAAGACCTTAAAATTAATTTACAAAACTAAAAAAAAAACCAACAACCAAAATATTACCTTCTATATTGTAACTCAAGACCGAACAAAAAAAATAATATGTATGATATAATAACAATATTATTATACGCGCATACAACGCGAGTAATTGTTTTTGTTATTATTTTTTTTTACTTTTCTGTACCAACAGCCAGTTGGAAAAAAATGGCTTGGTATATTATTTAGATTAAACGCTTGGCGAAATAAAACAGAATTAAAAACAGATTGACATAAATTATATTATTCAGTATCCGATGAAATCGTTGAAAAACAAGTCTACCGCAGTCAAATATTAACTAAATCGAGAATCGTCCATGGCCTAGCCTTGTATAATAGCTATCTACTTATATAGGTGCACGGAATACGCTTTATTTCGGGTTCTCCTAATTATATTATTATAATAACACATTACTCTCGATGTGATATTAAAATATCGATCACGAGATATAAAATAATAGTAACAATATTACGAATATTATGTTAATGTATATCGACGTAAAAAAATGAGAGAAACACAATTTATTGAGTTAACTGGCGTCGTTCCTGTTCCATCACGTTTATTATTTTTTCCTTCGGATTATCGAATATAATAATTACACAATTGACTTGTTTAGGTTAAAAAATTTAATTTTTAAAAATATATAAGATTTAATTTTGTTCAAGAGCAGAAAATACAGATATTTATTTTTGACCTGAAACTTCGTCAAACGACAGAGATTGAGTATACATTTACATGGGTACAAAATACATTTTGATTATTAACATGATATTCTATATTAATTTGGTTTTGTTTATTATTATAACCAGATATTCTACACCGATTGTCATAATTTTTGATAATTTAAAAAAAAACCTTATTTATATTTATCGAGAACAAAATATAGTCAGTAAACTATATAACGATGTGTTTTCTTTAAAATAATCAGAAAATCCACGACTCATCCATGATCGTCCGCGGTGGTAAATCCACGGTTATTAGGATAAAATTAAAGTGAGGCCAATTACCTAATGATTTAACTTTGAAAATACGTGTCTACGGAACGGCCACCTAGAGTCGAACACGAATTTAAAATTTTTCTTTTTTCAAAAACAGCCGTCGACGTGGCCGTCCCGGCTGTGGGTACAAAATCATGATTTTCAAAAATCTTTTGCAGAAAAAAAAAACTCCCGAGCCGACGCGAACGAACACGCCGCCGTCGCGTTACATTTTTACTCTATCCGAAAAAATATTATATAATATTATGATGTACGGACGAAACGGGTAAAAATACACGGAACGCGAGACACTGCTTGACATGCAGTGGACATACAATTCATAATGATATTAAATCGTGTCGGGCGCGTGACATGATAATATGGGGAAGATGCGCGTAAAATAAATAGTAACCGCGCGTGCAGACGTTCCGCGGTTACCGCGCGTGCAGACGTTCCGCGGTTACCGCGCGACGACTGCACGACCGTCGCGATTGCTCGGAAGCGATTGATCGAAAAACGTACTCGCGGAAAGCGCGAGCGACCCGGGACGATACGCAGAAGCAGCGACGTATCGGGTTACGTGACGGCGGCAGGGCGTAGGCGCTGTCCGGCGGGCGGCCTTGACGACGACGACGACGACGGACGGCGACGACGGGCCGTAAGAAGGAAGACGAGCGAGCAGCCGTATCGCGGTACTGCGGGACGGCCGCTGCCGAGGACGATGTACGCGCGCGATGGGACGAGCGATGGCGCGATAATGGCCGCCGCCGCGGGCGAAAGGAACAATAACGATAATCGCTCCGATGCCACCCGCCGCCGCCGCCGCCGCCGCAACGGCAATGACATTGGCCGCGCGCCGACTGCGGTCCCGCGCGGTATATAAACCGCCGGACGTCTGGTTCTCCTCACCATTCGTCCCGAAGCACCGTACCAAACCGTAGCAGCTTGAGCCGACCGAGTTCGATCCGTTCGCCTAGTACAACACCATCACAGTCACCACCAACCCATCCAAAATCATGATGTCTCCACTGGTAAGTACCCATACATAGTATAATAATCGTTGTCTATCCGATATTTTTACAATGTGGACAATAATAATCTCACAAGACTCCGAGGGTCTTCAAGTCCGCACCGACCAAGCACTTCGAATTATCCGACGTCGCTTTAATTTCATAGTATGATACTGTAATACCTATCGTAATACAATAATATTTCGAGTTGTGCGAATATTTTTCGGCTTCGGTCGTTTTCATACTCCGAGTCAAACCCATCGGTTTATTTATTTTTATTTTTGGTAAGACCCAGACGTTGACCGAGTATAATACTGTGAGTGTGTAATATGCAATAAATTAATTCAATTCTTGAAAGTCTTAATAATATTATACACCCGTCGGTTCGAGCTGTTTTGCAGGGTATACATACGCCCTTAAAAGACAGCAAGAGCGCTGGTCCTTTCTGAGCTGTGATTTCATGTAATAATATTATATTATATAAGATACAAGCCAATCTATTAATTTTGCCGAGAAAAGGCCGAGTTCGCATACAGTACCATATAGTCTTTATACATTTTTTTTACTATTTATACACATTCACACTTAACGTTTAGAAATTTCATTTTTAAAATAGACTTACTCTTTATCGTTTAAGACACCTTTTTTTGCACACTCAATTCATCTTCTTGAGTTAATTTCTTTAAGACACATCATACAACATAGGAAACTCTGATGAACTGAACACTGAACCTTTTGGTTAAAACACAATAGGATAGATTGTAAGAGAAGTTAACTAAAAAGTATTTTATGATTATTAATGACAATTTACTATTTCTATATTTATAATCATCAGCCGTTTATATTAATATATTATCGTACGCCTATAATATAATATTAATTTACATAGTATCGTCAAAAAATATACAAAATTGTAATAGCCTTTTTTTTCTTTTCAATGGTGATTTTAATGAATAATCTTAAATCAATAATATTTAAGTTAGTTGTAACTCTATGAAAGCATTTACAATTTTGATGCATTTTAATTTAAATATATAAAATGAATATATAACTTTTGAATAGAATATCATTAAAATTCAAATTGTATCGCCTTGATTCTGTTATTTATTATTTCGATGCTATATTTTTTTTTCGTTTTATTTGGTCGCAATAAATTAAATCAACTCTAGTATATACATAATAATTTAAACCTAATAAAAATATTAAAATATAGGTTACCAATACGACAAAAAAAAAATGTAAATTTATAAAAACAAATTTAAAAAAATTATATTTATATACAATAATATCCATTCATATTAAAAAAAGGTTATTTATTCGCATAATTTGGACTTAAATATGATAGAAATAACACTTTGAACTAAATGCAGGCAGGTGCCAATTTTGTACAGTAGTAATTTGTATACAATTAATATATTTTTTCTTCATAAGTTGCTTACTCGGACGAACGCGTATCTCATATCAATATTTGTATACATCTATAACGGTCAATATTTAATACAATATTATTTTGAGTTTCATTTTTCCAACAATAAAGCATTTCGGTTCGTCTTTAGAGCCATCGATTAAAATGTGAACGACATATAATGCCGTTTTCGATTATCATTCATCTCAATACACAACGATCTAAACGACTGTGTAATATAATAATAATATAAACCTATTAACATGCGGCAGTAGACTGGCTCATCTTTTTGGGAGGTCGGTCGAAACGGACGAACGTTCCGTGGCGTGACGAATCGCCTCATCATCGGTCGCCTATACATACGATTATCCACAGCTTACATAATCGTGCACCTATACACGTGTGTAATCGGTTCGAAAATATATCCAAAACCACAGGCCGACCCGTCGGTATCGTGATAATAATATAATGAATGACGTGATTGTTATCGGGACTCTATGTGAGATATATATTCGATTCAATTATTATTAGATCGTCCTCGGAGATCGCGCTCCCCAAACCCGCGAACCGGCCGGAATTTTATCGACACAACTTTTATGTTATATTATAGTTAGGTACCTATATGTAACAGTATTATCGTTCGTCCGATATTAGATCGACTCGAATCCGATGAATTTTCCGAATCGAATTGGTTTTTCGTGTCGACGACGGACGATGACAAAACGTTTATTATTATACGACCGCGGTGTTGGTAGTTTGCTGGTGCTACCTACGACCGTATTATGCTATATCAGAGGTATATTATATATCATATTATTGTAGTGGTTTTCTATATATGTCTGTCTGTATCTTTTTCTTAAATTATATATATTACACGAAATCGAAAAAAAAAATTCACAATAATAACACTTGTTGAGCCAAGTGAATAAGGGCCACCGTAGTGGAATCGTATGACCCGGCCACGAATCGTATACACATTATAAAACCGTCTATATACACGACGGATCCATTGAATCGCAGACGAGACGCAGCCGCGACGAATGCGACAATGACGATTGATCTATTTGTCACGGTGTGCCTGTGGCGACGGAAGAAACTATTTGTGTGAGTGCGTGTGTGTGTATGTGTGTGTAATAATGCGAATGAACTGAAAGTCCTATTAAACATCGAAACGTGTATACACGTATGTGCAAATGTGTGTGATTAATTAAAACATGTTATCAATCGGATGCGTATTGAAAAACGGCGGTCGAAAGTTACAACAACAATAATAATATTATTGTATTATAGCCTCGGAGACTTTAACGAACGTTCGCGTTTTCGCTATAATGTAATATAATGTATAGGTGAGATGGCGAAAATCGCGTCTTCGGGTCCGGTGGCATTTTTTTCCAGTATATATACCGTCCCGATTCGAATGTCGGTCAAACGATATCACATTATAAGGGAATAAAATAAAATACAACAATAATATAATATAATCATACCCTCAGCTCGATTGTTTCGGCCCAATAATAATGCCACAAGCATTAGGTCACGCGTCCGGATCTGCTGCAGCCGCAGGTCACCCCGTAGAACGTAGAACCGTATATACATTGGAAAGCTATCGAACGATATTAAAATAAATACACCCGCTGTGAAATCTCACTTAAACTATCTAATATACAATATACGAGCGGGAACGCGGCAGCGCAAAAGCTCGAGAAAAAAATATATCGTTAAAGATTTGTGTTCGGCGCTTAAACGGCAGACCGCGACTTATGCAGCAGATAATTCTAATAAAATATTATAATATTATTATAATGTATAATAGCCGTCACGTACACTCAACACACGCACGCTCTGCACAGCAGTCTATTGAGGAGCGATGAGCGTGATGGAACGGATAAAAAAAAAAAATACTTATAATTGATATGGGCGAGAATATAATTGTCGGAGGTTTTTCGACGTGTGTACGACGCGTATATTGCCAGGCAATTCTATTCTATATCGAGAAAACGAGTGCTCCGTACCTATAAATGGAATATTATATATATCGACAAACGGCGAATTCGGTGCGCGTCGAGCGTGTGTTGAACTCGAAATAAAAAATTCGTTTTTCAATATACACAACACAAAGACATACCGGTACACATATTATTATTATTTTTATTACGTATTATTGTGTGGTAGTCCAGGCCGGTCGCTAGGAATATAATAGACCTTTGGAAAATCGCGAATCGCACGTCCGCTCCCGTCGTTTGTCGTCGCCGTCGCGATATCAGCGTCACCGGCACCGCGTATACAATCCTCTCCGACTGTTGTGCTGCCGTTAAATAATAATAATAATAATAATAATAATAATACAATATAGGTAGGTTCCTATAATAGTATAAGCCCTCGACAATATAAAATAATAATATGATATTTGCGCGTCTACAATGGGAGTCCCCTCAAATTAGCACGTCCGAATCGTCGCCGTCGAATGTTGATAGTTCCGATGATGTTCGATTGTGCGCGCATATTGCGTATATGTGGGCCACTATTACTGCTGCTCGCATTTCGCACACACACGAGTAATTATTGTGATAAAATATTTAATAATATAATACCGTTTATTGTCCGACTATAGTCTAAGCTGCAGTTTATTATATTGTAATCGGCATCATATATATAGGCATATAATAATTGAGAAAATCGATCGCGTTTTCAGCACACGCGACAGCGCGTATAGTCCAAATGCACATATTATTGTGTATATACTTTTATATGCAGGTACCTACAGCTGTTTAGTACCTACCCTAACCTACAATTGAGCGAGATCACAGTGGGAAGGGTGACTAATTCTTCCGTTTGGCTTTTATTTTTCTTAGATTACAGATTCTCGCTGACACTGAAAAAAATAGAATAATATTTCATTATTAAAACAATAACTCGTGTTTTAAATATTTGTTTCATACAAGTTAATTACAAATACAATACTCGATAAATGAATGAACACATATTTATGGATTGATTTACTTCAAGATGGTATACTAACCAAACACATAACGTATAATATAAATTCCCCTTACGCACACGATTAATGATCCCAACCTGTAGGAGAAATGCAAGATACAAAATATGATACTTTTTTTTTTTTTGTTATAACGAAGTCTGAGAATATTCAAAAAATGATACCCCCTAATTCAAAAAACATAAATTAGCCGTCTATTTTGCAATAATATTATGTTAAGCTGGCGGCGATGAGATTGGATTTTACTTAAATGACTATGTTGTTCACAGGTTGTTGTAATTGGGTTCGTAGCCATGTGCTCGGCCAGCCCTTCACTGTACTTCAGCGGTCCACAATACTACAGCGGTTACTACGCAGCCCCCGCCGCCGTTGTCAGCCCGATCAAGAGCCAATACCACACCCAAAACGAATTCGGACAGTACGCCTACGGCTACAACGACGGATTCTCCAGCAAATCCGAGACCAAGCACGCCAACGGTCTGACCGAAGGCGCGTACTCGTACGTCGACCCGAACGGCGTTCTCCAGCAATACAAATACGTGTCCGACGAGAACGGTTACCGAGTATCTGGTACCAACTTGCCAGTGGCTCCAGCCGTCCCCGCAGTAGAGGTTCCCGCCGTCCCCGCCGTCCCCGCCGTCGAGTCCGTGATCGAAGTCAAGGCCGCCGCCCCGGCCCCGGCCCCAGAAGCCGTCTCCTACCAGTCCGAGATCCCACAGCAAGTGCAAGACACCCCGGAAGTGGCGGCCGCCAAGGCAGCTCACCAGATCGCTTACGACGAGGCTAAGAAGGCCGCAGACGCCTCTCCGGCCGAAGACGAACCGTCGTCCGACGCCGTCGTCCAGGTTTCCGCCGATGCATCCGCCGCGCCAGCCGCACCAGCCGCACCAGCCGCCGCACCCGCTGCACCAGCCGCCGACTTCGCCAACCACTACGCACCAGCTCCAGTCGTGGCCGCCGCACCCGCCCCCGTCGCCTCGTTCAGTTACCACCCAGCCGCCGCTTACGCCGCTTACCCGTCGTACGCCGCCGTCCCGGCCCATGCCCCGGTCGCGTCCTACGCTTACGGCCCGGTCGCGTCCTACGCTTACGCCCCGGCCCCGGCTTACGCTTACTCCGCCCCGTTCGCTTCCGGATCGTACTCGCCCGTGCACAGTCAGTACCACTCCCAAGACGAGTTCGGACAGTACTCGTACGGTTACAACAGCGGTTCGTCGTCCAAGGCCGAAGTCAAGACCCTCGACGGCGTGACCCGCGGAGGTTACTCGTACGTTGACGCCAACGGACAGGTCCAACACTACAACTACGTTTCCGACTCGGTCAACGGTTTCCGCGTCGCCGGCACCAACCTGCCAGCAGCCAACGCTTTGTAAACAACAAACGACCGGCCGCCGAAGTATAATATGTTTCCACGAAAACCCTATTACCGCCCCCTCCCAGTCAACACCGAACCCCCCCCCCCCCTCCAAAGCCCATTAACCCCATCACGCTGCTACGTTGTTTTTAGGTACCGGATGTAAAACCTAAGGTCGTGTTCGTGTACGATACGATACTATAATATTTTGCAGCGACGTCGCGCATAATTACGCGTATCTTCGCAAGCAACTATTTCAGTGTATGACGTGCGTAAACGAACATGATATTACTATTATAAACTATTAATAAACGCGTGTTTATGACTCTTCGTCGAGTTTTGTACAGGCTCCCCTCCAAAATGGTCAACGGTCCCCGGAGGGGGGGCGCGACGTTGCCGAGGATCGTCGGATCCGTTTGCCGCCCGACGTCAAACGAAACCGGTGGACTTTGATTCGCGCAAAGAAATTTCGTTTCTCGGCAACGTCACGCTCGCAACTCCTCTTCCCCTCGCCCAACGACGAGGTGGAGGTAAAGGGCTAAATATTAAAAAAAACATCTTTTTTTTTTAATTTTGTTAGCTATTAAGTTTTTTTTTTTTATACTATACACTTTCTTCACGTGAACACATCAATATTATTATTGTATTTTTGGTAAATGAAAACTCTGTTAATAATAAATTCACGATTTTGTAACTGTACACATTTGTATTCTCATATTGTGATTACCTAATACATAAGCCTGACGCCATACTTTCCTCCTTAGTCATTCCTTACCTACCAATATTCAAAATACTCCCTCAAAATTTCCCCTTAAATCTTGCCCACACAATCATTATTTCGATTTGTTTATAGTAACACACCTTACTGGGTCTAATTTTTTTTTAAAACACCGAACAAAGACTATGACTTTAAAATATAATATTGTAATATTCTCAGCATTGAAGTATTTTGCATCATGCATCATCATAAACATGAAAATCATATAAATGTTGCAAAGTACAGCAAACTTGAAGTTGTAGTTGTTAATTTGTTTTGGTGCCAAGTATAATATCCCATTAAGACCATATATTATTATCATTATAATACACCATTTTTTTTTAATTCGGTCCAATACAGTCCAATTTATCAATGTGTGATGAATTCGTAATACTGATTTCATGATACTTGTTTGAGTATTTCGATATAATATTCTTGTAGTTATTACGCATTAAAAGACTTGAAAAAAAAATATTGTAAGTAGGTATGTCAAATGGACATACAGATGAAAAACAATGTCAACAGTCAATTTCTTATAAGAATATATAACATTCCAAGGTACACATTTTAAGAAAACAAACGTTTTTTTAATTTATATTTTTTTTTATATAGAAACTTACTACTAACAATATCATTGATTAAATTATAGAGTGTAACCGCTGGGTATATTACTTCTTACTTTCCCGTTGTCGAGCAAATCAAGTGATATTCAACTTATACGCTTATTGAATTAACTTTCAAGGATCGTATAATTCTGCAATAATGAAAACGCTTAATCGATACAATCATTTCAATATCAATCATGACCGTTGAAATAGCAGACAGATGAAAAAGTACAGCAAATGTAATAAATTATAAAATATAAATTATGAAAATTACTATATTTTCTGCAGTGTGTACCTAATTTAAATGTATTTTTGCGTTGCTTTTTAATGAGCATAATATATATATACCTACAGTATTAGATCGTTTACTAAAATGACCAGAGATTTGAATTACGTACCGAATTTTCTCAAAATCCTGTTTCAATATATTATAACGTACATTCATATTATAATAATATTATGTTGCCTCGCGGTAATGTGAACAATATGGTATTATTATTAATTATGGCGTATATAATATTATAGCCATTATAAATAGGTAATGCCAAAACTAATCATCAGACATCGAAAAAAAATACAACATCGGCAGATAATTTATTTAATAATGGCACATTAACAATATTACAGGTGTCATATTGAATATATTGTGCATGACCATAGGTCCGCAGCTCGTATACAAAAAAAAAAAAATATATTAACTATATTAATGATAAATCGATTTACTCGCCCATCGTGGCGTGGACGCATTCATAGAGGTGTACACACTCATAATAATATGTATTTTGCTGGGGTGGGTGGAATTGGAATTTCGTTCGAGTATATAATATGTATAGTCACTATAAGTTGTAGTTTGGCCATAATTTTACTTGTCCAAAAGGGAGACCAAAATTTTGTTATACATTTAAAAAATGACTTATACGCACCTATAATTGGCCGATGTGAAATTATAAAACGCTTAAATATCTACTACCTGCGTTAATTAATCTCACTTGTGTAAAATATATTAATCTCAGCAAAATCCTTCCTTTTAAAAAGGGGAGGGGTGAAGATCTCAAAATCGGGACAATCCCCCGGACGTTGGCGGTGGGTCACAATACGTATGATCATCATAGTATTGATTTCTATAGCCATTATCGGTACTTCTAAGAGTTAGGGTGAGACTAAAATATATATATAGGTATTATTTCAATATGTATAGCATCTACGAGTAAAATATTTTTCTTCCTAATTAGAGGAAAATATGAAAGCTTCAATTTGGTTAATTTATGAACGGGACACGGCACGTATTATAGCTAACGAAGACCCGAATAGGGATTATGTAGGCGAAGGGTTTGCTTTTATAATTGTTTCATTCCCAGGTTTCCTACCTGTTTTAATACTGCTCATATATTATTATGTATTTATATATACCTAATTATAAATGTTATTTCCATAAGTCAAACTCTCGGTAATCCTAATTCCTTCTTATTCGTTCTAATTAAATTATTAAAAAAATCATCCGGTCGCGATACACCTTGTTGCGTCGAAAGCAACCGGCTATGTACCACCCCTTGCCCACCCCAATTACATATTAATATCACCGTAATATCACATCCGTAATAAGTAGGTAAGTATATAATAAGGACGCAGTAAAATACTTTTAATCGCGGCGATAGTATACGAGACCCATTCAGTATTGTTGTTATGATATTTTCTTATAGTACAAATTATGTGTTTAGCCAATTAGAGCACTGCTGCTTTACGGCTTTCTAATTTTGACTTTTAAGTTTTTAACAATAAATAATTATACCGTCCTCCCTCTCAGATGACTTTATGTATAATTTATACAACTACCACCGTGACAGTTTGGTGACGTTACTACACATTCATTGGTTCGTCATAATTTTGATAGAAATAATTATTTAGGTATTTCAGCGAAATGAGTAAATCTCGCTTCCCGTGCATCTGGTAAAAACAATATCAATGCATTTCTCAATTTTCTTGGCGAGTGACGTCAGCGGTCAGCCATTGGTTTGCATTTTGCTGACATGCTTTATTATTTAACTGTGCATCGCAAATGGCTTATTGTATAGTCGTAGTTATAAGCATCGAGTCGTCGTTCACTTCTATCTCCTTTGAGACCCTAACAAAAGCAAACGGAGAGGTAAAATGTTGGCATTATTATTAATAGTTTGAAACACCTATTTCGAACTCAACTCGGTAGTGGAATGGTCTCATGTTTAAGCACCACGTCTAAAAAAAAACCTATTTTCTAAAGTTACACGTTTCAATATGAATATCAATAAATTAAAATAATGATGAATACGGAAATATAGTAGCATTAGCAATGAGTATGGTGACCTAGTTCATAATATATCAAATAAATCTATTATGAAATTGCTAAAATAACTAAACTTTGTAATTGATTCCATCCAAAATCTTTAAAAAAAAAGATCCTGCTCGGGTACTCCGCAGTTCTCAAACAGAATTCAACAGTAATACATTTAAACACCAAAATAGTATGAAATAATAACAACAACTGCAAGATTTCAATACTGCAGTATTTCACATGTTTCAACATTTTAAATTTTAAACCTAACCAAAGCACAAAAATTATTGAAATGTAATAAAGGCAACTAACTCTAAGGGTTGCCATCATTTTCCTACGAGTGAACTACATTGCAAAATTTTAAGTACCCGGTGATTGATCACTAATTTTTTTCAGGTATATTCTAACTATACAAGCAGCAGAATATGTTGGACACAACTGCGTTAAGTATATTAATTGTCTTCTTTTATTATTTCTTCATCGGAAAACTGTATGTTTTTCGGTAGTGCACCTAACCTAATAACGCAGTCGTGAATCAACGGGTATCGGTAAAATATTAATCTTTAATGCGACCGGCGAATATTCCTCTAAAAATAGACCAGTCGGTCTCGATCGACTAATTGGCGACCCCTATAGAACTGTCCGTAATAGAATTGTTTAAGTGGTTTATACATAGGCACTTGGCCGTAAAGTATCTAACCTATATGATATTTCTACTCGGGCGTAAAAAATTAACGACCTAAGCAATAAAAAAACATATCGTTAAAAATGCGATTGACAAGACAAGTGTCAAGAACAAAGTTTATTCCTTTTTTTTTTAGATTTATATAGAAAACAATATTGTCGTTAGGTTCGGCAGAAGCCGAAAACACTCGATATTCGAAAAGTTGCATTTCATTTGATACCGTACAGGTATACGACAATGTTTCTGATATAGGCATCCTCCGCAGTGAATTCGTCACATTTTTGTTCACAATCAAAATAACCTATTTTAATTTGTTACGTACCTGTGAATTTCGACTATTGTCGTGGACTTGGAAAAACGCATTGCGGTTATGATAGAACTGATACTAACGGCCCATGTATACTTCGGTGTCAAAATCCCCTTCGATCGATGATTAATCGTCGATTTCGACAAAATATGAGCGATATTTTTTTGTTCCTGCTGACGTAATAATACAGTTTAATTTCCTCAAAAGATATTATAACCTCTGATACATTGACTTGACACCAGATTTAATCCATCCGTTGTCTGTAACGCTCGTAAAAAACTACACAAAACGTGTACAGGTATAATATTATAATATTCGTGTATAGTTCAATTATTCAATTACATGTAATAAAATTGAGATCTATTATAATAGGTCGTCTTTGTGCGTTTGATTTCCCGGAGCGTAATTTTACCATATTTTTGCGTGTACCTTAAACATAAATATTCACCGTCGAGAACCTATCCCATGATGTATTATTATTATTATTATTATGATTATTAATATACCATAATAATGTTATGCATCTACCAGAGTTATGTGTAATAGTTTTAAGCTACGAAAACCGACGAGCAAAAAAACCTGTTTCGCTAGGTATGTTATAATATATAATAGCTTACTGATCTCGTTGTTTCGATGATGTTTAATTAAAATACGATCTGCTTTTGATTTTATAATAACTATAGTAGGTAGAGCCACCTACCCTGATTAATTGTGGTTAATGTTTTTCTTTTTTTTAATGTTAACAAATTGTTCGCCAGCAAAAACGTAACGTGTCTGACAAATCTACAAAGGAATATTATTATTGCATTCAAGTAAATTACCTACACATTTATAAGACGATTTATAAAAACAGTTTATTTATACTGAGGATATCAAGTTGCATAATATAATAATT